CATTTTGTCACCATTTCATTTATATCTTCTATATTGCATGCTCTTCTTACCTCTGTTGTTTCTAGTAGTCGTCTCGCTTTAGATGTGTCAGGTCTTGTCTCCGCCGTCTTATTGCTGCTTTGTAGATTCTTGTTTTTGTGTCTTGTCTTAGGTGTTTGTTCTTCCAAACTGTGTCATTAAGAGATCTCGCCGCTTTACTTGCTTTTAAGCTTTGTTGTCGTACTTCTTATTCAACATCTCCGTAACTAGTTATATCTATTTCCAGATATCTAAATCTTGCTTCCTGCTTTATTGTTTTCCTTCCTGAGTTCTTCATTTGCGTTGACATGGTTTTCTTTGAATCTTTGTTTTACTCCTGGAACTATTTCACATTAACATTATGCATTCTGTTTTATCCGGTTTGTACCTAGAAATTCTTACTGTTCCTACTGATAAATTAAATTAGTATTGTTCCATAGACACGACATAATTATTTGAAGTATTATTAGCTGTACAATGTAGATACTGTTAACAAAAAATAAATTAAAATGTTACTTATGTCAGATTCAGAACCCAAATTTATTTTTTATATGGATTCAAAGGTTGCATTGTATGTATTTTCTGCGTATAATGCAGTAGTTCTAAAAGTATGAGCAGCAATAGCATTAGTAGCAGTCGAGCAGAAGTACTTATGTATGTATTAAGCTATCTAAAGCCATTAACAAAAATTAGTTCGAATTAAATCGCAAAAAATATTTTGATACTTCTGTATATTTTGAAAAAACGACCATATAAAATAACTAAAAATATATATTTTTGTTTCAGATTTAATACGAATAAAGACGATTACTTAAGTATCGATGAACTTAAACGCATGATGGAAGTATTAGGAGCACCACAAACTCATTTAGGTCTGAAGGCGATGATTAAGGAGGTCGATGAAGACGGAGATGGTCGTTTGTCTTTCCACGAATTCATGTTGGTATTCCGCAAGGCTCGTGCTGGAGAATTAGAGGAAGATTCAGGTTTGGCACAACTGGCAAAGTTGACAGAGATCGATGTTGATAAGGTTGGAGTAAATGGAGCTAAAGAATTTTTCGAAGCTAAGGTAAGCATTTTGTGATCTTTTTAGGACTTTGAGACTGATGGAAAGTTCGTCATTGTTTTAACTTTATTAGGATACACTTACTGTGTTTTTATGTTTCACTTATCATTGATGCTACAATATATAGGAACCTAATGATCGTGAGATTTGTTAAAGATGTCATTACAACAAAAAACTAACGAACTTGCTGTGTTTTAATCAATTCGTTGCTGCTGCTGTCAGTTGAATATCTTTCTCACAAGCTTGGACTAGAGAAATTTTTAATAGTATAAGAAATATTAACGCTTACCTTGTTACATGGATATTTCTTCTGGAATCTATGTATATATTATCATCGATGTCCGAATAACAACTGAAATTCGTAAACATGTAGCAATATTTTTGCCTGTCAACTGATATGCTTTGTTAGACATTTGGACGTGCGCACATGACATCAACTAAGACCAATATATTTGAATCGACTTTGCCTATAATTATCCACTGCGTAAAATCCCCCCTTCTTCTTATGGTGCCTATCCAATTAGTGGATGTTGGCGACAATTCTGGATACTCCTCTAAAGAGTGCATGGGTATCAAGGTTTGTCCAATCCCTTATGTTTTTAAACCATGAGTATTTCTTTCTTTTGATGCCCCGTTTTCCTTCTATCTTCTAAAATGCACCAAGTATAATGTTCCAATTCATTCAATTCCATCGAATTATGGGCAGTGCTTGAATCTCTAGAAAATGCACGTATAGATTCAAGATACATTAACATAATTAAAAACATATATGAAAATGCCACCATGCAGATAAAGCTGGACGAAAGCACAAAAATTAATCTAAGACAACTATCTATCTATCTAAAACATCAATCTAATCTTACAACGGGGAGTAAGAAAAGGAGACACCATCTCTCCCAAACTATTTACCCTTGCTCTAGAAGACAATTTTAATAAACTAGAATGCAATAACAAGGGTATCAATATCGACGGATCATACTTAAACCACTTCAGATTCGCAGACAACATAGTTTTAATAGCCGATAATATCCAAGAAGTAAATGATATGGTACAACAATTAAATGCAGTTTCAGGAGCGGTAGGCTTAAAAATGAACTACAGTAAAATAAAAATACTGAGCCGCGAACAGACAAATATAACAATACAAAATCATACCATAGAAAATGTGGAACATTATGTATATCTAGGTCATGTCATCAAACTAGGAAAACCAAATCAAGAGGCTGAAATTAAAACAAGAACACAACTGGCATGGGGCGCTTTCGGCAAACTAGCATATATCTTGAAAAACACCTCCATTCTTGTAAACTTAAAGAAAAAGGTGAATAACACAATAATTAGAAACAACGCAAAGAGCAATGGAAGGAATCATACTTGGAATATCACTGATAGACAAGATTAGAAACACCGTGATAAGACGTAGAACGAAGATTAGGGATATTGTGGAAGCAATTGGGAGAGACATACATTCAGGAGTGGATGGATAATGGTTGACAAAGAGACGCATGCGACACAATATTGATAGCTCAAAATGGAGATAGTCTGCAAAGACTGATCCACAGATTTAACATAAGAGCAAAAGAATTTAATATGATAATCTCACATTAGAAAACTAAAACAATAGTAGTCAGCAAAGAACCAATCAGATGTTAAATAGAAATTGATGGCATCAGCATTGAATATATATATAAGGTTCTTGAACTCCTAAGTGGAGTATAGAGCTTCAGTGAAAACGCGCCATCGGGTTCTATTTTGCGCTAAGGCCTTCACCTCATTCCAAGACTTTCCTTGTTTTCTTATCTCGTCCATGATGGATCTTCTCCAAGTTTGTACTATGCGACCTTTTTTTCGTTTTCCTTGGGGATTCCACTCTAGGGCAGTCTTTGCAATACTGGAGTTATTTTTTCGGAGTGTGTGACCGATCCAACCCCACTTTCTGGACTTTATTTCATTTACTACCCTCTTTTGTTTGGTCAGGTGTAGTAAGTCTTCGTTTCTGATGATGTTAGGCCAGAAAATACGAACAATTTTTCGTAGACATTTATTAACAAAGACCTGCAGTTTGTCTGTAAGGGTTTTTGTCGCTTTCCAGGTTTCACATCCGTAAAGTAGTACAGACATGACATTTGACTGGAATATGCGGATCTTTGTCCTCGTAGTGTATTCTCCAGACCTCCAAACAGGGTTGAGCATGCTGAAAGCTTGTTGCGCTTTTCGTATCCTCATACGAATATCGTCTTCTGTACCTCCGCTTTCTGTTATGACACTTCCAAGATACGTAAAGTTTTCCACATTTTCAATCTGCATGTTATTAATGGTGAATAGCGTGTTGTTTCTTGCATTTATTCTCATGGATTTGGTTTTACCAATATTGATTTTCAAACCTATTTTATTGGCTTCAGTGGAAAGTGTTTCCAATTGGTCAGCCACATCTTGGAACCTTTGTCCTAACAGGCAGATATCGTCGGCGTATTCTAGATCGCTTAGGCGTGTGGTTAACGTCCATTGTATCCCTCTTGTGTCAGAGTCTAGTTTGGAGAGAACATAGTCTAGAGCTATGTTAAAAAGAAACGGAGAAAGCACGCATCCCTGTCTGACTCCAGTAAGTACGTCAAATTCGTCACTGTTGATCCCATTGTGTGTCACGCTGCATTTCGCTTCAGTGTACAGTAACTTTATAATGGAAATTATTTTATGCGGGATGTTTCTTAGCTCTAAAATTTTCCATATTGCATAATGAGATAAGCTGTCAAAAGCACGCTCGAAATCAACAAAAATCATGTATAGGGGTGTGTTCCATTCAACCGATTGTTACATTATTAGCCTCACAGTATTAATGTGGTCTATGCAGGAGGATTCTGGTCTAAAGCCTACTTGATTAGCTCGAAATTCAACCTTGTTTGTTAATCTTTTAAGTATGATGGTCGTGAAGATTTTATTTATGGCGGTAAGCAAGGTTATTCCTCTCCAATTTTTGCATAGTGTGAGGTTGCCCTTTTTTGGAAGCTTAGTAATGATGCCTTTTTTCCAGCCCGCTGGAATGCGGTTTGTTTCCCACACCTCTCGGATTATGGGGAGCAAAAGTTCAGCAGTTAGATGCGGATCAGTTTTAAGCATTTCGGCAGCAATGTTATCGATTCCCGAAGACTTGTTATTTTTCAGAGATTTGATAGCTGTTATTATCTCTGTTTTGGAAGGGGCGTCGCAAGAAATCTGCAAGTCTATATTCTGTGGATTTTCGACAATTTCATCTGCGTTATCCCTGGGCGTGCCTAGCATCTCCTGAAAATGCTCTTTCCATCTCTCTATTTGGTCATTTGTTGTAGTAAGTAGTTCTCCTGTCTTGGATCTTACGACGTTTGAACAGTTGGGCCCACTTTTTGTTAGCAGCATTGAATAAGTAATGGAAAATAGCTGTGAATTACACTGTCTAGTTATGGAGACCTGGACAAAGAAGTGAAAGATTATAATAACACTATATGGCGAAACATTAATATACACATTAACACTGAGATGAAGTCAAGAATTTATAAACCCAGTGTAAGATCAATAATGGCATATGCCTCAGAAACAAGACTTTAGGAAATGAGGAAATGAAGAAACCTGAGGAAATGATTAGAATACAGCAACGTAGAGCTGTTTAGAGAGGCGGTTAATGAGGTCAGCATAGCTATGATAGTTTCATATATTTTATAGAAGATAGAATTTAAAAAAGTGTATTACAATCACACATTATTTTTAGTTTTTTTTAGAACATTTTAAATTTTATCTTTACATTCTCTTAAAATGGTTAGGGGAATATTTTAATATCCACTCCGTATATTAATGGAAATCTAATTTAGTAAACAATGTTATCAGCAAACACCAGATACCCTTTATTGACCTTACCTATTAATATTTAGTTAAGTGTAATTACATAACTGTAACTGTTTAAAACGACCATCGTTATATTTTCGCAATTCAAGAAAATGGCAACGTCTTTAGAAGCACTTAAAGAAATAACACAAGTTATAGCGGACACCGCTGATTTTGTTGCCATCAAACCCTACAGTGTTCAGGAAGCTACCACCAATCCAATTATCATTTTGCAGTCCGCTAGCTTACCTCAGTATAAAAATATCCTACACAAAGCGGTTCAATATGGTCAAAATACTGGAAGAAATAACAAAGAAGTAATTGAAAACACCATGGACATGATCAATGTTCTATTTGGAGAAGAAATTTTGAAGGTAGTTAAGTATAGAGTTCACATTCAACTGGATCCGCGATTGGCATTCAATATTTCTCTCAGCGTCGAGAGAGCCCTAAAGATCGTAAAAATGTTCTCTGAAAGAGGTATCGACAAAAATCATGTGGTCATCAAATTGCCTTCTACATGGGAAGGTATCCAAGCAGCGAATATTTTAGAAAAAAACCATCATGTTAATTGCAATATGACAACGATGTTTTCGTTAACTCAAACTGCAGCATGCGCGGAGGCCGGAGTAAGTTACCTAGCGCCTTTTGTGGGCAGGATAAGTCTATGGTACAAAGAAAAATCTAGAGAAACCGGACGACACGAAGGCGTAGAAATACTGAAAACCATCCAAACGTACTTGAGAAAATTTGATTACAGAACAAAAGTGATGGGAGCTTACTTTATAAACGCTGAAGAGGTAGGAGCCGTAGCAGGTTGTGATTTAGCGACCCTTCCTGTAGCATTACTCGAAGATTTTGCTAAAAATAATCATCCCGTGACTGATGAAATGGCGAAGGACCCCAAGTCATCAAATTTGGAAAAATTGGTTTTAGATGAGGCAAGATTTAGATGGTTAATGAATGAGGATGAAATGGCGACAGAGCTTCTAGCAGAAATTCTTGGAGTGTTTTCGTCACATTATATTGAATTAGAAAATATTGTAAAAGAGATGGTGAAATTGAGCAAATAGATTTATTTTGTAATTTATGATTGCTGGTTAAGTATTAAATCCATGATAAGTAAAATTTATTGTGTTTACTATAACGTGTTTTAGATTAAGATTTTTAAATGCCTTTAAATATTTTTAATTTCAAATTTATTGCATGGCAATGAGATAAAACATAATGCACTAGAAACAATTCAAAATTTTAATTTGTTTAAGTATATAGAGGTATCGAAAAAAAAACGTAATTTAAGGAGGCCATGAAGTAGCTTATTTATATTAAATGGTAGCAGTGGCGGCTCGTAACTACTCAAAGAGGCGGTGCACAAATAGATATACACTCCGCGTCATAGAAAACGGGCCACCCCAAATATTTAAAATATTTTCGAAATTATTATTTATTGCTACAAAATTAAGTATTTATTATTTCGTATATTGAATCAATAACTCGTTTAGTATAAAATTTCATCATTATCGTAAAACATCAATCAAAAATAAAAAATTTAAGAAAAATAGGAAATTTATTGAAAAAATCAACGTACAGTTTTTAAATCTACAATGAACTGTATATTAAAAATAAAGCTGGTATCCATTTTCAGTAATGGCTATTGCCACCTCGATTCTGGATGACACTCCTCATTCGATTTGGCATGGAATTTATAAAGTTTTGGATATCTCTTTGTGGAAAAGTGGCCGATTTCTCAATGAGTGCCATCTGGAGCTTTCCAGGTGTTGTTGGAGCAGATATGCGACGCCTAACGCGACTCTTTAGCAGGCTCCATATATGCTCAATAGGATTTAAATCGGGGCTTTGAGCAGGCCAGTTTATTTTTTGAATACCAACCTCGTCAAGGTACTCCGTTCCTGTCCTTGCCGTGTGTGGTCTCGCATTATCCTGCATCAGCAGGAATTCGTTGCCAATAAATCCAGCATAGGGCATCACATGATGTTGTAAGATTTCCGTTATGTACCTTACTGCTGTTAACGCACCTCTGTCGATCACGACGAGATCCGTATGCGCATCAAAAGAAATCCTTGCCCAAAACATTACTGAACCACCACCAAAAGTAACCCGTGGTGCCCGAGTGCAACCAGCGAAACGTTCTCCAGCTCGTCTGTACACCTTACTACGTCCGTCTTTACCATAAATAGACATTCTACACTCATCCGTAAACAATACTTTTTTTCAATCGTCTGCTGTCCAATTGTTGTGCTCACAGGCAAAATCTAGTCTTTGACTTTTGTGAGCTGGGGAAAGTAAGGGTCCCGTTGCTGGACTACAAGCTGTCAAACCTTGCTCCCTTAATCTTCGCCGAATAGTAGAAAGGTTGATTGCTGGTCCTTGAGCTTGCTGTAAATGGCCTTGAAGCATTCTAGCGGTTTGGGTCCGATTCCGTAAGGCAGCAAGAAGGACGACGCGATCTTCCCTAGCGGTTGTTTTCCTTTTTGGACCCGTACCAGGTCATCGTTGGTGAGATCCTGTGACAATAAATCGTTGCTGGGTCCTTTGTACAGTCGAACAACTAACATTCAATTGTCTTGCAACTTGTCTTTGACTTAATCCACTTTCCAGTCACGTTACAATTTCAACCGATTTTTGAAAATTCTCCATCGTTATTAACTGAAGACTACTTCACACTAAGTCGGCTACTGTAATACTGAGATGCGTTTAAAACTCATTAGAACCCTTTACAATATCGTTTCCTCAAAAATTAATCAAGTTGTAAACAACTTTTTCCCAAAATTGTTTTGTTTTATAGGTTCTACGAATATCCTCAATCCAGTTACAGGGTCGTTTTGCTTTCGCAACAACCCATTTAACTTAAATAACCCAAGACACATTAAAAATACAATAATGTTAATTCAATATACAACAAAATAAATGCATAATTTTGTAGCAATAAATAATAATTTCCAAAATATTTTAAATATTTGGGGTGGCCCGTTTTCTATGACGCGGAGTGTATTTTCCATAGTAAATTTACCGGGTAAAGGATGAAAAAGGATATTTTTTTTTCGTTTTTTGGACACACTACTACCAGTATTAGTACGTTAAGAATTCTCTTTCTAAAACTTATAAACAAAAATAAATATAACATAGTTCTTTACACAGACGCGTCAAAGACTAAAAGTGTGGTGTTGGATATTCTGTAACTATTGTATCAACAGAGAACAGCCTAACACAACCTCATGTATCACAATGTGGCGTTCGTGTTAGGGTGCTTTGTCGGGTCTGTATCCGCGTACGAAGAGATCTCGCTCTCACACACATCTATTCTATAGATTCTATGCTGAAGCTCGACGTACTTGTACCCCTCGAGTGTCAAATCCTACCGCGCTCACCGCAGGTTTCTGTGCCCCCCCCCCCCCACACACCCTCTCTCCACTCTCACACTGTTCAACCCCCTCTATGACGATAGTAGTGTATGCGCATGCAGTGTATGCCTCCGCATTCACTTTCCCTCTATACATCCTCCCCCTACGATTGATAGGGGTTGCGTTTGTTGCCACCAACCACTCCGCCATCGTGACGCACAGAGTAGAATTTGGGTTGGTACGACGGGGCTGATTATTCGATTCGGCTTGCGTTTTAAGCGCGGCCCCCCACCCCCATTCACCCCCACCCACCTCCCCCCCCACCGCCCACTCTATAACTGTTGGAGGTTTCTAGTGTTATTACTGGTGAATAAGCCAACAATTAAAGATAAAAAATCACGTTTAATTGACGTTTCAATTTCCAATTCGGAAATCGTTCTCTAAAATACAAACAGTTATATTAAACAAGATTTTGTTTTTGTTAAAAAATTTAAATTTACAATGCCACAAGAAAAATAGCTTCGCTAGGACAACTAATAATACAAGATTATAACTGTCACCACTGATATGCGGTACCATCTTATTGTCGGTATTAAGTGGTAACAAAAAAGCTGACTGCCTTTCCACAAAAGCCGCGAATCATCCACGGAAGGACACCATTATCAATATAAACAATTTGCAACGATCTCAAAGCTAGACTGATCAAACATGGCAGATTCGCTAGAATAAAGTTACTTCAGCGCTGGATGAAACTAAACCCTCAGTGAACCTACTTACCTATCCCAGTTTATCTCGAACAAATATGGAAATCATAAGGTGATTGCGTATAGGACATACCCTTCTAACTCATGGTTACCTGACCTGACATCATTTTCACAACCAAAATGTCAGCACTGCAATATAACTCTCCGAATCAGACATTGTACTTATCGCATGCCCTTTTTATGCAAAATACGCCAAAAAAGTTTCGCAACAACTTCAAAGAGTCCTAAACAGCACGGACCAAATCAACAAGGTTATCCAATTCTCGAGAAAAGTCAACTGCTCATAAAATAAAATGTTATATTACAAGTTTTTATTATTTTCTCTGTATGTTAACTACATTATTTTGTAATTTATATGATATTACCATGTAAATCGTAACTCGGGCTAATGACCATAGATGTTATCATGCACGTTAATTTAAATAATAAAAAAAATTTAACATTAAACGTGATTTTTCTTGTTTTACTTGTAAAGTAAATCTTGCCTTTTTAAAGCACGTGGTCTAAGATATTTATATTATAGGGTGGGTTCAACATCCTATCTCTTAATGTATTGCTTTTTTTAAAGCCCTACTCTCTATTCGGATTATATAGGCCCGAATATAGGCCTTTCCTAATTCTCGTCATTCATCTCTGTTGTTTGTAAGACTTTCCGCCTTGGTCCGTGCCGTTCTTTTAATATCGTCGCTCCAGCGCATTTGCGAGATTCCTCGTCTCTTTTGCTTCATATGGCACCAATTTCCCGATTTCTCTATTCCTTCGGCCATGTCTCAAGACGTTCATTATGTTCTCAGCGTACCCATTTCGAGTGAATGGCTTCTTCTCCGCCTTCCTTCCAGCATTTCTACTATGAACTTACCATCGCCGTTTCAGGAGATTTTTTTTATTCCATTATTTTTCTCTTACTGCTCTTTCTATTATTTCGGGCATCACTTCTGAGTTTGACATTTGTGTGCATCTGGCCTGCTTTCCAGTTCTGCTTTGCGGGAGTTAAAGAAGGATCGTCTCTGGGAACCGATTACTGTTCGGCGTCGTAGAACTTTTCAATTGAGTTTGCAATTTATCAGATTTATTTTTGTCTAGTTGTTCCTCGTTCAGTTTTATTGGTTATTATGTTTTTTCTTTCCTAGTTTTGGTTTGGTGCATTTGAGACTTCGGTTTTTCATCTATGACTTGTTTTCTAATAACAGTCTTCTTGAATGGTTTTTTTAAAACGTCCCCCTTTTGATCTGTTTTTCTTATTACTCGTTTAATGCCTTGCATGTGGCATTGCTAGAAGTATGTAATAAGGTTTACTTGATTCTTTATTTGCTTTTTGTCTCTCAGTTTCTGCATCCTTTGCTATGTAAAGCAAGTGTTTGTCATTTTTTTCCTATATGGTCCCGTTTCTTCTTCTTCTTCTTTCACGTTCCACTCCTATCGGAGATTGGAAATCATTCTGGCAATTTATAATTTTATTGGTTACTCGCCTGATTAGTTCAATTGAACTGCATCCAAACCACTCACGGAGATTGCGGTAGCCACGAGATTTTACGTCTTCCTACGCTTCTTCTACCTTTGATTTTACCCTGCATTATATTCCTTAGTAGTTCGTACTTTTCACCTCTCATGATGTGCCCCAAGTATTCCTATTTCCTGATCTTTATGGAATTTAAAACTTCGCATTGTTTTCCTAGTTGTTCGAGACTTGTTCGTTTGTTTTGCGATCCATCCATGATATTTTCAAAATGCGTCGGTTAACACACATTTCGAATGCTTCTGGTTTTTAATGTTGGATTTTTTAAGTGTCCAGCTTCAACTCCATACAAAAGGGTAGAGGATAATATATAACATCGATAGCATTCTTATCCGGAGCGATATATTGATATCGCGATTACAAAAAAAGTTTTCTCATTCTATTAAAAGTTGACCGCGCAATTTCAATGCGGCATCTTATTTCTTTTGTCTGATCAGTATCTTCTGTGATCCATGCTCCAAGGTATTTGTACGAAGATATTTGT